TGGCAACCCACTCCAGTATTCCTGCCTGGAGAATCCCATGGGCAGAGGAGCCTGGTGGGCTACAGTCCGTGGGGTTGCAGAGTCAGACACGACCAAGCGACTAACACACAAGAGAAAGAGGCAATGATGTAAAGCGCATGGAGCCACTCTTCTCGTTTGTCTTTAATATGGAGTCAGACTTGAGCATGTCTGCAAACTGAGATGAAGGAATCCAGGAAGAGGGAAAGATCTAAGGTACAAGCCTGAAGGATTAAGGCGATTAGGCAGGTCTCTGAGATGGTGGAAGTGAAAGATCTGTAGATGGGGGGTCTTTCCTTGGAAAGGTGACTAGGAGTGCTTTTGACACTGGGTGAAGGAGGAGAATGAGATGAATGTTGCCTAAGATATTACAGACAAGTTTAGTAATGGTGGGTGGGAAGTTGAAAGAGCCCACACCACACATTACTATTTTCTGCAGCAGAGTAGGAAGTTAATTATTTGTTCAGGATGGATGATCAGGAATGGGGTAAGAAGCCCCAGCAGACACTAAGGTAAATGAAGCAAAGCTCATGCATTGAGACACCTGCTTAGAAATGAATCCATCTAATTTCTGCCATCAGGCTTGGGTTCTGGTATGAAGAACTGGAGTCTCAAACTGACTCAGGTTAAAATTAGGGTCAAAGCGAGGATTTAGTCAGATCTCTCCTACAGAGAGACCAAATAAAGTCGGGTAAAAAGGCAGGTGTCCACAGGTGTCTACTGCTGACTCAAACTGATCTCCCCCTGGGGTTTTAAATGGTCCCCATAAGAATAGATGTAGTCCAGCTAGAGTTATAAGGCCCAGGGCAGCTTAAAGGCAGTAACATCCACAATTACAGCCTTTTCAAGCACTTCAAACATATTAAGTACTATTGAGATATAAAAACAAAAAAATCCCTTCTCTTTATAAACTACACATTAAGTTATTAAGAGGCATACAGTCTGAAATTTGTATGTATGCCAAAGAAGGCGTTACAAAATGCTTAAAGCCTGACATGGGTTCATACTTCCTTGAAACAGAATAAGCAATGTTGACAGATCCTGCACTTACCCAATCCCTTGGCTTGGTGTTTAACTTGTGTGTGTGTGCGTGTGTGTGAGTCACTCAGTGTTTGCCTCTTTGCAACCCCATGGACTGTAGCCCACCAGGCTTCTCTGTCCACGTAATTCGCCAGGGAAGAATTACTGGAGTGGACTGCCATTCCCTTCTCCAGGGGATCTTCCCAACCCAGGGACTGAACCCAGGTCTCCCACAATTGCAGTCAGATTCTTTACCACTTGAGCCATTAAATTCAATCCTAATTTAAATCCTAATTTAAATCTCAAACCCTGGGATTGACCAGATTCTGGTGGCTCAGTGTTAAGTAATCGGCCTGCAATGCAGAAGACACGAGATGAGGGTTCAATCCCTGGGTCGGGAAGATACCCTGGAGGAGGAAATAGCAACCACTCCAGTATCCTTGCCTGAAAAATCCCATGGATGGAGGAGCCTGGTAGACTACAGTCCATGGGGTCGCAAAGAGTAGGATACAAATGAGCAAGTGAGCACACACACACCATGGAGATGGAATAAAATATTCAGAGCAGGGTGCAGCTTCTAATTCCTGTTTCATGTAACCACAGAGAATGTTCCATGTAACCACAGAGAATGAAAATCCAGATTCTACTGCCTTAGTCTAGGTATACCACGATCAAATTTTCCGAGTGCTCTATACATTTTTTCACTTTAGTACTACAATGTGTTTAGCAAAACTGATCCTACACCATCATTCTTGTTCTTTTATCGTAGAAGAAATATCAGCACTAGTACACAGAATGAAATTTGCTTTATCACAACCCGAGAGTGTGTTATATTAAGCTGAGCCACAAGGTACAAAAATACAGAAATTTTTATCTTGTATCAATACATATGACAGCAAAATAACCTAAAAGAGGGGTAAAATGGTTACCTGAAAACTATGTCTCTAAAAGAAGATGAATGTATTTTTTTAAAATGACGCCTATACTAACTAGAGTTGATTTAATATTAAGGAATGCAAACTTAGTTTTAATAATGCATTTTGGATTTAGAATGTTTATCAATTTGGGGGGAACCACCTACTTCTCATCTTTAGAAGCTGGCCTTTCAAATCTTCATTAACAACTCAGTGGCAAACATAAAACATGCCAAAATACAATGACAGCACAAGCAAGTGCCCTAACAGTAGGCATCTAGTGCAATGCTTCAGCACCCTGCCTCTCAACGGCTGGGTGGACCCGGAAATAAGTACATTTAAGGAGGCATTTACTTCCTTAAAAATTGCAAATTGTGGTTCAAAGTAATATATCTGTTAGGAGAAAAGAAAACAGTTTTGTTTAAGCCAGTCAAATTACTACTAGACTTAGACAACAAAAATGTTTTAAAATCATGTGTACCCGTGATTTTAAAAAATCACTTTAAACAAAGAAAAATCATTCAGCCACTGAAAAGACGGTTCCTATCAGTGTGATTATCTGAGTAACCTTTTATTTACCAGTTAGTGAATATCACTGAAACTCATGATGTGCTTTCAAACAATGTATAATTGGGCATATGGGGGAGGGAGGAGGAAAGGAGAATAGTAATAATTCATTCTGCATCTTGTAAACCAAAACAGAAAACTGTATTTTGCCTGTAATTAAAAGGAATGGGCATTTTAGATAACTTCCCTTATATAAAGAGCAACTGAATCTGTAGTGGCTACCAGGAAATAGCCTTCGACCACCAATCATTTATAAGTGAAACCAACAGCAAAATCAAACCTGAGTACAAATAAACGTACTAATCCATGACTTTCTTACTCATTCGAGAATCTAAATTCAGCCTCCCAAATACTTGGGTTTATAATTGCTTGTGTTCTGAAATGTAACATTTCTTCCTACATGCTCTTTTAAAACTACATATTAAACACAAAAATACAGTATAGCTTATGACAAACATTATCCCTTCCTGTTTTATATTCAACACTTAACAACTCAAATGTATAATACCTCTGTTTTGGTTTTTTTTTAAGATCATTATTAACTAAGTACAATAAAAGATCATAAATCCTGAATTCTAAGACTCTGGAGGGACTTGAGCACATTAATATTGCATGTAAATGAATGCTAATCATACGTGATCATACCTATTACTAAAGGAGGCCTAACCATTTCTATCCTCAAAAGTATTATTCTAGCAGTTTTTTCTAATCTACTTGAAAATAGGACCCTTGTTTTTAAAACAGTGCATGATTCACATTTTTTATGCTTCAAACTAGCTTTGAGACCGTCGGTCTGAATTAGTAATATTTTATTACAAATTCATAACCGGGTTCAGTATAAGGCTTTCTGATCACACAACAGGTTTCTGAAAGCAGTATTATCTGAGCTATAATGATGGTAACAGGCAACAAGGCATTAAGGATGATAATAGAAAACACTACCTTCCCTAATATCAACCCTTAGATAATAGAGATTATTAAGAGCTCCAACATCCCAGGAGGTTTCACAGAGCAGGAAGGAGCAAAGTCGGGACATAAGGGCATTTTGTAAACAAAGCGCATTTTGTAAAAAAAAAAAAAAATTGAAGTCACAAGCCTTCACGAATGGTAGAGGGAGCCTAATAACCCATTTAAAATCTAATTAATTTAGCATTCTAATTTAATCCAGAATTAAATGTAACAACTGCTTGGTACTACTACTCTAACTCAATTCTGAATTTTATAAAAAGTTCACAACAGAATGTATAGATGTGAAGTGTGACGGGCACTATGCTGCTGCTACTACGGCGCTTCATTTGTGTCCGACTGTGCGACCCCAGAGACGCCAGCCCACCAGGCCCCCCCGTCCCTGGGATTCTCCAGGCAAGAACACTGGAGTGGGGTGCCATTTCCTTCTCCAATGCGTGCAAGTGGAAAGTGAAAGTGAAAGTGAAGTCGTGTCCGACTCTTAGCGACCCCATGGACTGCAGCCCACCAGGCTCCTCCGTCCGTGCGATTTTCCAGGCAAGAGGACTGGAGTGGGGTGCTATCGCCTTCTCCAGACAGGCACTACAGAGCCACGAAAATTCCTATCCCTTCCTCAGTTTTTACAGGCGAAGCACACGTTTCAAAAAAGCGAAATGGATTCCAAAAGCTTGAGGGGCCAAAACGCCTTTGGCGTTGAAAGACACCAAATCCCTCTCTACCGCAAATGTGTTTTGACTAGAGGTTAGTATCTGCATACTTGAAGCGAAATCTGGATTACTTTTAAAACGGTTCCCCTAAATAAAGTAGGAAAACTTGAACGCGCAATTTAGACTGTATTGAAGTGGCTGATGGTGGTGGGGCATGGGGATAGAGTTCCATCCAGTAAGCTATATTTCTAGGGTTTGAGAAAAAAAAAAAAAGCAGCCAGAGAATCTTCTGATTAAACGCTGAGTTGGAAATTAAACTTAATTGTGTCCTTTACGTCCCCTGAACTCCTATGTTCGTGTGGGAGGCAAACGCAGGAAACCCCTTCTGGCAGACTTTGCCAAAATGCGTACTTGCATCACAAGAGGCTCGGGCCCTCCTACTCTCCTTCCTTCAACCCCCAAAACGTTTAAAGCAGGGGGAGACGCAGGGGTACGAAAGAGGGGTACCCTAGCAGCTGCCCACCCCTCGCCTCCGGGCGCCCCTTCTCTCCACAGCTAATTTTTGCGCGAGGTGTACGGTTGGAGTCTTCCTCGGCGGTGGCAAACAGGCGAAGATGTGCCCCGCTCTCATCACCCAGGGCGAAGAGGAAGAGGAGGGAAAGGAAGAAAGGAAGGGGGTGCCGACTACCCGCCGGGCCCCCCCGCGTCCGCACCCGGGGCGTGCAGGAGGGGCCCGCTCGTCCCGCGCCCCGGCCACCCTCTCCGGGGAGCCGCGGGGCCAGCCGGGGCGCAGCCCACACACAGCCGCCCGAGCGCCGCTGGGGCGCCGAGACCCACGCTGCAGAACCAAGAGCTGGTGACCACTCACCGCCGCGCAGCGAGCCCAGCAGCAGAAGCACGACCAGGGGCCACATCTCCGCGCCCGCCGCCGGGTCGCCGCCGCCGCCGCCGCCGGCGTCTGGAGCAGGCGCCGCCGCAGACACAGGCAGGACCCGCCGCCACCTCCCGTCACACGCAGGACCCGCTGCCCGGGCTGCCCGGCCGCGCGCACGCGCGCTCCCGCCGCCCCACACCCGCGTGGGCCGCACACGCGCACTCAGCCTCGCCTCCGCCCCGCCTCGGTGGCTGCTGTCGCCGCGCCCTCCAGACAGACACGCAGCTTCCAGCTCCCGCTCCCGCCTGCTCCCTGGCGGTGGCGCGCGCGGGGCTTCGCGGTCACGCCCCGCGGCCCCCGGCCGCCTCCGCTCGCGTCAGCGTCCACACACCGGCCCCCCGACCCCCGCTGGCGGCTGAGCGCGTGTTCTCCGGCTCACCGGGGACCTCGCCGCACCCGTCCCCGTCTGCCGTTCCCTTTTTACCTTCCTGGGCACTCCCTATCTCATCTCCGCGGCTCCTCTCCCGCGCTCGCACCCAGCCTCCCGCTTCAGGAACCCCCTCCCCAGGCGCCACCTCGGAGCCCCCGCCCCTCTGGAGCCCGCGACCGCTCGCCTCTCCCTTCATCCAGCGTCCTCCCGCGCGGTGGGACCTCGGCGGCTGCACGCTTCTCACCTCGCTCCATTTCCCCCCAAAGCTCCGGCGCCTGCAGTGGGAGCGCACACCGCGCGGGGGCGTCTCGACACTTCCCCGCCGCCGGCAGCGAGCCCGCAGGGACCAAGCCTAGGGCAGGTCGCAGGAGGCCGCGTGTCCGCCGGGAACTTCCGCTCGCCGCTCGCGGGCTGCCGGGCCCTCCGGGCTTCACCGCGCGTCCCGTCTGCTGTGGACTTTCCCGGCTGCTCTCAGATCCTCCGTTCTTTTCCTCGCCTAGTTCTGGAATGTTTTTCAGCCTTTGAAGGGGATCACCCAAGTTTCCATCCGTGGTGCTGAACACTTTGCTCTTGTTCAGTCTCTGAGTCCTGATGCTGAAACCTTAGCAGCCGTCAGGGGTGGTCGCAACGGTTAGCAGAAGTATCCACGATGCCCCTTCCTGCAAAGTCACTGGGCCTGGTTAGTGACCTCGCAGTGGTCCCTCGTCTATGCTGTTTGAGTTTCACTTGCTTAAAAAATGGGTTCAAAGTGTGTCCCCAAGCCACACTGTGGACAAGGTCTTTGATTAGCTCTCTGAATCACACAGACCACGTCATTTATAGTGAAGCAAATTCCCTTTTAGAACATTTACCCTAGCTGATGAAAATGCTTGCTGAAAAGTCATGCTTGGTGACTGCTGTATTGGCGTGCATCTTGTCAACTTAAAATGTACATGCAATCTAAATGTTGAGCGTTAGGTTTTACTCAGCGGAAATTTTTAGAAGGTAACCCAGGGAGGGAACATCTCAAGTAATCCGGAGAGAAACTGGGGCAGGCATGCGAGGGAGGAGGAGCCAGGTTACATAGAAGCTTTGCAACAAAGGGCAGGTAGTCTGAACATGGGAAGGTTATTGTGAATTAAAGAAAACCAGATATCCCAAGTTAAGGAATTTAGTACTTTTCTATGTATGGAAGGGGTTTCCCTGGTGGTTCAGAGGTAACAAGTCTTCCTGCCAGTGCAGGACACTGGGGTGTGATCTGTGGGTTTGATCAGTGGGTGGGGAAGATCCCCTGGAGAAGGAAATGGCAACCGTTTCCCAGTATTCTTGCCTGGGAAATTCCTTGGACAGAAGAACCTGCTGGGCTGCAGTCGGTGGGGTTGGGTAGCAAAGAGTCAGACACAACTTAGTGACTAAACCAGAACAACTGTGTATGGGAAGATGCAAGTCTGGGCTCACTGAAATCATTCCTTTCATAGGCACCTCAGCTATCTGGGGAGAAGGCAATGGCACCCCACTTCAGTACTCTTGCCTGGGAAATCCCATGGACAGAGGGCTGCAGTCCATGGGGTCTCAAAGAGTCGGACAGGACTGAGCGACTTCACTTTCACTTTTCACTTTCATGCACTGGAGAAGGAAATGGCATCCCACTCCAGTGTTCTTGCCTGGAGAATCCCAGGGACGGGGGAGCCTGGTGGGCTGCCGTGTCTGGGGTCTCACAGAGTTGGACACGACTGAAGTGCCGCCGCCGCCGCAGCAGCAGCAGCAGCTATCTGGGGCCAGCATCCTGTGTTTTCATTCCTGAGCTTCCTTTCCTTGGGGCTCATAGTAGAGTGTGGCGATAGTCTGCTGGCTGCTAGATAGCAAGTATTCGTCCACCTGAGTGTGAACTGGATGGGTACCATCGCTGATGACTGTGACATCCTTGTGTACCAGCATGGCAGGAAGTATTCCATTTTTCAATATCCACTGCTCCCTTGGTTGTTTTTCACTCACCCGATGGAAAACAAAGGAACTTCCCACTACAATATTCCAGTCCTCCAAATCCTCTTCCCATGGTGTCTCCTTCACTGCATCCCCGTAGTAATAAAATCCAGGAAATAAAATTACCACTCTCTGACCTTCTGTAGCATTGTATTATATATACTGCGTAACTTTCCCTTTGATTGTTGTGTGTGTGTGTGTGTGTGTGTGTGTGTAAATCTCTTCCCCACAGCTTTATCCATTGTTTACAGTCAGAGAGGGTATATTAAGTATTCCCTTCTCCAAGACTTCCTGTTGAACTAGGCAAACAGAAGGGGTTTTAATAAACGTGTTGATGTGTCTTGAGGCAAGCGTTGCTCCAGTGAAATTTGATTGTTTTTTAATGATTAAAAAAAGAATGAAAGAAAGAAAAAACAATTGCCTGGCAGATATCTTACTAAAACAATGGTTAATAATTATGATGGTAATGATTTGAATGACAGCTTTGACACCCTGAGGCTACCAAAGGGACTGATGGATTCTCCTCCAACTGCTGCTTTTGTGGATACAAAAGAATCATCCATCAGACTTTGAGCATTCGGGACATTGTGTATCACAGAGCAGCTGGTTGGCTAAATAAGGCTGTCAGCTGTCCCTGAGGTCCACAACCCCCCTAGAGCTGAAGAATGACCGGGAGGACTGTCCCCAACCTTCAGAGGTGGAGATCAGTGACGCTCTGTCTGATGTGGGAACCGCTGATGTCACGTGTTAAGGTAGTTTATGAAGAAAATGGAATAGCTTAAGTCAGGTGAATGAGAGGCCACCTGGGTGAGAACCCTTGCTTTGGGAATCTGACCAGGATGTGTCTTGATGGTGGGGTATGAGGAGGTCTGTTCCAAAAGAGACGATCCAAATCAACCTACCTAGGTTTGATGATTTTCTCTTTGAGATAACCTTGGGCTCCTTTCTCAAGTATCTAAGCACCTCATAGCTGTGTTTCCCTTTTAACATTTGCAAGCATTTTTTGGGAGGGATTTTGAGCTCATCTTATCTTTACATAAGGAGTTTTCTTGGATAGAAAGCAAGAGAGTAATGCATAGAATGTTTTGAACAGAGGTAATACACATCAGGTATACTACCTAAATCTTCACAACAGCTTTGGAATGGATTTTATGATCTTCATTTCAGTGACGAAGAATCAAAGGGAAAGAGGGATGATGCCTACGGTCCTTTGTGTCTAACTCACATTCCCTGTTTTTCCTACTTTTTCTTTTCACTCTGTAACATCAAAGATGTTATAGTTTCCCCTTCATAGATAAATAAACTCACAAGCCCAAACAATTGCTACCCTTTCCCATCATCACTACCCTTACAGATAAGGAAGGTGAACTTTGCTCAGGGAGGGGATGGTGGTTAGTCTGACTCCAAGGCCAGCGAAAATGTTCACAAGCTTCCCTTCTCAATTCATGGTCAGCTCCCCTTTCTTTCACTTTCTATCTTGACAGTACATCTACTTTTATCTTCCTCCCCAAACTATACCTACGTCCTACCACATGGCCCATATTGTTAGGATGTTATCTAACAATTTGTATTGATACAGTTGTAACCTTACTACAGTTTTTCATTCAACTAGAACTTTTTTCTGTTCCCTCATTGGTGTGCCATGCATGATCCTTGATACTCTGGAGAGTTAGCTCCGCACTGCACCTGCCTAACCGTGCAAGGCCTATACTTTGTGGAGGGCTAGATACACCTTTTTATATAAGTGAACCTACATCACATGATCCCACAGTAGACCAAAGCCCAGGATTCCCCCGGTGTAAGTTCAGGGCCCCTTCTGTGTATTTTCTGTTGTTTGGTGCATATCAGTTACTTTGTTGTATTAAAAATACCTGTTTGTGCTGCTTTCTTCCTGTTCAGTAGTAACTCCTTCCTAAGGCCAATGAGGGGAGAGGCCACATGAATCTTGTTCTCTGCTAGCTCCACTGCCTGGCACACAAGAGGTGATCAAAAATCGGCCATTAAAATGATGAATGAAAGAATGATCAATAACCTCTCCAGGCCAGGAACTCTGTTTTCCATGATTGTCTGGCAAGGTACCCATCGTAAGGGGATGCTCGATGAACTGCACTAACGAGCTAACCCTGATGCTTGTCTGACACATCAGAGGCTTTTATCACCACTAAGCTCCATTTGAGGGCTTATCAGTCATCAAGTTAGCTGCAGTATATGATGAATATTATCTCTCTTAGTGTTTCTGAATCTAACTTGAGGGGGGGAGCTATTTGTAATGACGATTCTTGCATTTTTAACACTTCTGGCCAGTGTGATCCTAGCTAATTTTCATGCCCCGGTCAAGCACTTTACACCCAGAACAATGGACTTTTCCTTGCCGGGACTATTCTATTTTCAGGCTTCTGTGTCTCAGTCATGCTGTTCCCTCTTCCTCATGTGTCCTCCCCCACATTTTTTTCCATCTCTCTTCAAGCCAAAGAATTCCAACTCATCCTTCAAGACTAAGATCAAATTTTACCTCCTCTAAGTAGCCTTTCTCAACCTTATTTTTCCCTTTTCTCTTAAGTCTCTCTACCACTTTTAAGGTCTAATGACCTCTTTTATTATACTTTGCTCATGCCTCAATAAACATCGTGGCATGACATAGTTGTGTTCGTGACAGAGTAAA